ACAGACATGAGTCTCACTGGTCTGGAGTGACTGGGGTCAGTGGGCCCAGGTGTCCAGTGTGTGAGTAACAGACATCAGTCTCTGGAGTGTCTGGGTTCACTTAGAGCAGTTTTGGGGTGTTAACCCCTCTCTCCCTCGTCTGTCAGTCCCCCAGGATCAGTGCAGTTTTGGTAGTTAACTCCAGTCTGTCTCTTTCTCTCTACCTGACTGTTTCTCAGGGTTCCTGTTATTTAAGGATTTCTGCATGAATGAGATTGACGAGGCTGTCCCACAGCTGAAGTTCTATGAAGAGGTAAGACCCGAGACTCTGTCCTGGGATTTATCTCGCCTCTCCTGCCCTGGCCTGTAGTGTTGTACTAGTGTGGTTAACTCCGAACCTGGAGCCAAGATAATGCTGTACTGTCCTCCCGGGCTGTCTCTTCCTTCTGCCTGCTAGCTGGACGAGGGGGCCGAGGACGGAGATCGGTGTATGTGTTGGGGGGGGGGGGGTATGTGCATTTACTCATGTGACAAAAAAAAACAGTATTTCGTGTCTATATTTCCCAGTGTGGTGTTTGCAACGGAGGAATAGGACCTTATAAGAGTCAAAGTCCCCACAGATGGAGAGAACAGAATAGCATCAGTGTGTGTGCCCCCCACCCTCTCTGAGCTCATGAGCCCTGCCCTCCCCCATTCCTCCCAAATTCTCGTTGTAATGCTGGAGCCTGAGTGGTGCTGTATTGTACAGGCAATTGCTGGGGCTTAATCTGGGAATGTGGATCTCCCCCATTGCCCTTCTCCCTCTCCTAAAACCATGACAACACACTGCCTGGAGCCTGAGCCCCATCTCCTAGCAACTGCACTCTTCTGTGCTCTCTGCACAGGGATTGGCTGGGGATGGGAGACCCCAGTGACGTCATCCTTGATGGAGGGTTACTGTGGCATTCAGGAGTGGGAGGGCTGTGTGACAGTGTGACAGTGCTGCATCTCTGTGTCCCAGATCAAGGAGTACGAGAAGCTGGACTCCGAGGAGGAGCGGCTGTGCCGGAGCCGGCAGGTCTATGACAAGTACATCATGAAGGAACTGCTGTCCTGCTCACACGTGAGGGAGCCAGCTGGCATGCCTGTATACACACTCTGTCGACATCGCTGTCACGCATGCCGGCAGGCTTGGGCCGGGTGCTCATGCGGAAGCTGTTCAGTTGGAGACCAGCTTTAAGTCAATCCTGTTGGGCTGAACCTGCTAATTCACTGCGTCAGTGTTTGTGGGGGTCTCAGCCTGACGAACAGGGGCAATTAGACATTGGACTGTTGGAGCAGCTTTTGCAGAAGCATCTAAACCCAAGTCTGCTCTGCTTCAACATCTAACTCTATCAGTCCTCTGTCTCTCACAGTCTCGAATCCTGTATTCCTATTTCTGTCCCACTTTGTTATGCCTGAGATTTTTATTTTGCTTCCCTGCCTCCTTGTGCTTCTGTGCTGCTGTTGCTGTGAAGCTGGCTGGAGTGCTGACAGCTGTGTTCCTCTTCTGCAGCCCTTCTCTAAGAAAGCTGTGGATCACGTCCAGACTCATCTGGCCAAGAAGCAGGTGCCCCCCACGCTGTTCCAGGCAAGCTCTCCTAGCCGCCCTCAGGGGCACACAGACACACGTTGGCAAGCATGGGCACACACGGGCGTGCCCTGACACATCAGGCGCAGTAGGTGACCAGAACAGCTGTAGGCCAAGTTATTGCTTCACCGCTTCACGTTATTGAGAAAATGATTAGGTGTGTGTTGTTTCCATGTGGTAGTAGTGCTCTCAATTATGAGTAAGGCTCAACAGTAAATAATGCAGATTCAGTGCCTTCAGGGTTCTTATTCGTGCTCTTGAGGACGAGACAGTTGATAGATTGTTGTCAGAAAGATCCTGTCTGCCGCTCTGGCTGCAGCTTTGCTAGCACACAATTGTAGCCAAGGGTTAGAGAGACGCCCAGGAAAACCCACATTTCTTCAGACAGTGGAGCTGAGGACTGAAGCGGTCTTGCGTACTGATTTTTAACGTATGGATGGAATTTTAAATTGTGCACACTAGTACCAGAGTTCCTCCTGTTCCAGCACAGTGGAAGTTACTTTTGAATTCATACCAAAATGATATATCAGTTGTTTCTGGTTTTAATATGTGAAAGCTCTTGCCAATAGCGTGCTGTGGGCTTGACAAAGTGAGTGAACACCTGCATTGTGTGCCAGTTTTGAAAGTGCTTCTGTGCTTAGAATTTTGAGAGTTTCTTGCAAGAACTGGTTTTAATGTTACGTCTATGCACTGTTCTTCTGGAATATGATATCTGGGCTGTGACGTCTGCTGAAACCCGTACATGCAATACTGTCACTAGTGGTACTCACAGACACTGATGAACACTGGCGTGCACACACTTGCAAGGAAGAACACGGCTCACACTTCTGTCTCTCTGCCTCCCTGCCTGTGTGCTACAGCCCTATATCGAGGAGATCTCTGACAGTCTGCGAGGGAAGATCTTTCAGAAGTTCATTGAGAGGTGAGTGAGCAGACGGGCGCAGGCCTGTATTTGTTGGTCTGTGGATCTGTTGTGGAGCCCCCATGCGTGAAGAGGCCCCAGTCTTGGCCTTTTCTCACTCTGTTTCTCTCTGCAGTGACAAATTCACGCGGTTCTGCCAGTGGAAGAATGTGGAGCTCAATATCCACGTGAGTGTCTCCTGTCTGTGCATTGCGGTTTTCACAGAAATGTAGTCAGCGGTTTGTAACTGCACAATACCCCTCTTTCCTTTCCTGCCCTCTCTCTCAGCTGACGATGAACGACTTCAGCGTGCATCGGATCATCGGCCGCGGTGGCTTCGGAGAGGTGTACGGCTGCAGGAAAGCAGACACAGGGAAAATGTGAGTCAACAGAGTGGCAGAGTGACAGAGACCGTGCCTGTTAGAGGGGGAAGATTTCACTTGCTGTCCATGCTTGTGCAGTTCAGAAAGGATTCAGCTGTAATTGTGGTATCTGTGACAGTGCCGCCAGTGCACCACCTTCGACATGAAGAGGTGGAGAGTGAAAGGAGGGAGGGGCGAGGAGCTTACGGAAGGCAGGCCTCGTTATTGCAAAGGGTGGGGAGATAGAGCACGGGCAGAGTAGGAGAGGGAAGGTGTGTGTCCAGTTGCTGATGGAGGGGCTGTGTGTGCGGCAGGTACGCTATGAAGTGTCTGGATAAGAAGCGGATCAAGATGAAACAGGGGGAGACTCTAGCGCTAAACGAGAGGATCATGCTGTCGCTGGTCAGCACTGGGGTGAGTACACGTGCTGCCTGAGAATGTGTTCTGTTACTGTCTCACTGGACACACTGTCACATAGTCGTGCCTGGGACTCCAGGTTTTCACTCCAGCCAGGCTGTCTGAGACTCTTTTGAATTTTAGTTTTGAAATTTAGAGAACTAAATTTCTTTACTGGACAGTATCCATTGCTTCCACCACTGACACTAATGAGAGATGTCAAGTTACCGATAGAAATGACCTTGAGATCTTCCAAGGCCCATACTGCAAAGAGCTGTTTATAATCTGCCAGTCCCAGCTGCTGGCAGGCAGGTAGCAGCTCCAGTGGAGACGTCACCCTGCCCCACGTCGCACAAACAGCTGTAGCACAGCTGGGAAGAAAGTGTGCTGAGCGTGTTCTGTCCAAGAGAGAGGGTCAGCGAAAGGTCACAGCTGGATTACAGCACTCCGCATTCCTGAACTGCGAATTGCTCTGCAGCCCTGGTTCCTCCTGGCTGTCTGCTCCCCTGTGGTCTCACTGCAGTGAAGCAGAGGAGGGCAGCTGTGTGCAATGTCTGCTTTTGTGTTCTTAAAGCTAATAAGTGCAGATCTCTGTGAGTAAATGACTCCCCTCTGTCTCCCCTCCTTCCCTTTTTCTCTTTCTGATCCTCTCCCTCTCTCTTCATCCAGGACTGCCCATTCATTGTTTGTATGACCTATGCCTTCCACACCCCCGACAAGCTCTGCTTCATCCTGGACCTCATGAACGGTGAGTGACCTTTCACCCCTCTCCAACCTTAGTCTACCATCTCCCACCTCTCTTCACTCCTCTCCCTCTGCCCGCTTGTATGTTTTTGTCTCTCAGGAGGGGACCTGCACTATCACCTCTCTCAGCACGGCGTGTTTAACGAGAAGGAGATGCGCTTCTATGCAGCTGAGATCATCCTGGGCCTGGAGCACATGCACAACCGCTACGTGGTCTACAGAGACCTGAAGGTGAGAGGGGGGAGGGGCTAATAAAGGGTGTGTCTGCAGCAATGGGGAGGGGACGGTCTGTCCATGGCAAAGGGGAAGGGTTAATAGAGGGAGGGGCTTGTCTGGCTACAGAACAGGGTCTAATAGAGGCGTGTGGCCTTGGCAAGTGGGAGGGGCCAATAGAGAGGGTGTGGCTACACAGCATGGGCTAATAGAGGGGTGTGGCCCCAGCAAGGGGTGGCTAATGGGGTGCAACTGTAAGGGGAGGGGCTAACATAGGGGTGTGGCTACAGCAAGGGTAAGGGGCTAGGAGGAGACAAATGGCAGGAGTATGCAGGTCCCGTCATAGCAGCCTTGCTCAGGGAGATACACTGCTCCAGTTATACACAGGGTCTAATTTAAACTGTTTTCTTCCCTGTTGCATTTGTAGAGTATTACAACTTACTTTTGTTTTTCATAACAATAATTGTGGATTTTTTTTAATTTTTAACAACCAATTTAACAACACACAAATGGCCCTTCCAGTAAAGCACCAGGAATTGAACTGAACTAAGGGAAGAGTTGTTGGGGGATGGAAGTCCAATCTGGGTTATGTGTGTCACTGACTGTGTCCTTGATTAAAATTCTTTCCTTCCCTCTGTCCTCCTCTCTCCCCCTCGCTAAGATTCAAATTCACAGATGCCTTATTGGCACGACTTTCATGACAAGTATTGCCAAAGCTTTGAACATTAAGACAATGGGCCCATCTAGCTCATTTTGTAGTCAGTATTAATTGATCTCAGGATATCATCAGACTGTTTCTTGACAGAAGCCAGGCTATCAGGTTCAACAGCATGGCTGGACAGCTTTTCCCGTGTTTCTGTAACCTTTTGTGTAAAGAAGTGCCTCCTGTTATTAGTTTTAAATACAGTGCCACTTAATTCATATTTCACTGTTACATCTGAAGGAGTCCTCTGGGCTGACTGGGACAGATATGGGGATTTCGAATTTGTGATCAGGTCTTCTTGTAGTCTTCTCTGATCAAGACTGAAGAGATTCAGAGAACACTTACTGATTAACATTGACAAATCATTCAAAATGTTGATTTATTTCCAATACCAGCCATTGCATCATTGCATCGTGTTTATTTAGTCACCTTCAGTTATGACACAAATATATTTGTCAACAACCTGTTTTTCATTTCATTTCATTTTGAAGAAGATGAAACGCTCACAAATAATCCACGATGACAAAGATAAAATTGCTTTGCATTTTTTATTTGAGTGCATTAAGATGAGACAAAATGTCTGTCTGAGTAAAACTCGTACTGAAAGGAATTTTGTCACGTGAGGTTCACCGTTTGCGTATGTCCTTTCTGTCTGGCTGTAGTGGGTCCAGTCCCAGGGCTGCGTGGTGCCTCAGGGTGTGAGAATCTCCAGTAACAGGGCATGCAGCTTTCTCCTTTTCCCTTCTGTTTCTGACTGTCCTCATTTCCAGCTGCCTTCTCCACACTTCAGTGTGTCTTAGTGTTAATTGATTGGTACCCAGATAAACAAAAAGATGTGTACACTGTACCTATTATATTAGAAAAAGAAAAGCCACGTATATGCAAGAAATGCTTGTGGTTCTCCATGCTTTCAGCTGGAAGAAAAAGATCTGGAGTCTGGTGCTACTTTATAGAGGACGAGCAAACCAGGAAAAGCTCTTGTAAAACATTACTTAAAGATAAACAGAATGCGGCTACATTATGAGTTGAAAAGTACAAAAAATTTGTAGATTTCGCAGAAGGATTCGCAGCATCTTGACGTGTAGCATCTAGCATCATTTTATATGAAGACATCTGTCTTTTATTTCGTAGCTACTCAACAAACAGACTAGAAAACTAAGCAAGAATAAATTGTATTTTACTGTTTGCGTATTCAAAAATTACTATTTTTTTGTCTTGGCTAGAGATCAATGTATAAGAAGTACGTTACTCTTCTAATTTGTGAGAGTTTGGACAAAGACACTATGAGCTGCATTTCAGGCTGTGACAGGGTGAACCCCTGGGGTACCTGTGTGTTGATCCTCACTGTCTCCCTCAGGCTGTGACAGGTGAACCCCTGGGGTACCTGTGTGCTGATCCTCGCTGTGTCTCCCTCAGGCTGTGACAGGGTGAACCCCTGGGGTACCTCTGTGCTGATCCTCACTGTGTCTCCCTCAGACTGTGACAGGGTGAACTCAACCCCAAACTAGCCTATGGGGCTGGAAGAACAGCCAGGTTTTCTGATTAATGTTGGCAGGGAGGTCGAAAACTCTGAAGTGTCCTGGGTGTGTTTGGACAGAGCAGGAAAGTACATCATTGTCTTGACCTCTCCTGTCTCGCAGTGGCCACACAACCTCTTCTCTGGATGGCCAGGGTTGTCTTGTTGCCTTTGGTTATTCAGCCTGTACTTGGTCAGGATCTGCCTGCATCTCTGCCAATGAAGAGATACTCCAAGACTATTTCTGTTTCGGGCTACCAGCTATCAGTATTTGTTTTAATTGCCCCTGTGTTCTCTGATTTTGATGTGTGATATAATTGAGTCTGCAGCAGTGAGGGTCTGTGTAGTGAGGTTCAGGGCAAGCTGGCTGAGGAGCTGCAGGGCCTTCAAACGGAGCGACTCTGGATTACTTCTCTTGAGAAGCCTCCTGAATCTGGCTGAAATTCTGTACGTGGATGAGCAGTGTCTCAAGGACTTGTTCAGGCCTGCAGGCGTGGTACACCAGCACCTTGAAAATGTATGTGCAGGATTTCAGCTGAGTGCTTTTTCTATCATGTGCATTTCTGATTGAGTGAACCGTAAACCTCACTCTATACAGGAAAATGGGCTGGATACAACTCAGCTTCTTGTTGAAGAATTTATTTTATATAGGCTTCTTTTGATGGCTCTTCCTCTCCCCCTCTCCAGCCTGCCAATATCCTGCTGGATGAGCATGGCCATGTGAGGATATCGGACCTGGGGCTAGCCTGTGACTTCTCCAAGAAGAAACCCCATGCCAGCGTGTCAGTATCCCTCTGCCTCTCCCTGTTCGCCATCTCTCTCTCTCTGTTAGTCTCTATTGTTCTGATAATTGTTGTTGCTTTGGCAACACTTATTCATTGGTCAGACCTTTGAATTAAGTCTGTCTAGAGCCTAACAGATTTCTGTCTTTTTGCTTGTTTATCTCTCTCTCTGTGCCCGTCTCGCTCGCTCTCTCTCTCTGTGCCCGTCTCGCTCGCTCTCTCTCTCTGTGCCCGTCTCGCTCGCTCTCTCTCTCT